GTCAACTGACTAAAATATTTCTATAATAAATTATTCCATTCAATAAAGGCATCAATAGTTTGCCTAGTTTTAAAATACAATTTCACTATAACGCATTGAAAGAAATAGCACTAATGTAAAAGCCCTGCCATGTGCATTAGTCCATATTAAACCACAGCCCCTAACAAGTGGCTTTCGTGTATTGTTAAAGGTCTGACAAACGTACAGCCACAAAGAAATTCAGAGATCAGGCTAAAAATCTTTACTCACCACTTTGTGCCTAGATATAATTCACTGACTGTATGAAGGACAGGCCAATAATTCTGAATTCCCTGTCTTTGTAGGTTTAACATAAAACTATTACAATAGTCAGCATCTTAAAAGAATAGTGCCTAATGTTAGGGATGTTGTGCATACACACACATATATTACACAGACCTGTTTATATACGTGGTCTTTTTTTTCAAAATGTGGGGGCAAAATGATTTTTATTACCTCACTAAAACACAAATAAAGAAATATTGACCATTCAATCAGGAGTTGCATCTATTGGACTGTATGATAGGGACCTTCCAAATACAATTGAAGAAAATGTATCTCATAAATAATGCTCTGCCCATTAAGTCACAGACAGTCATCTTATAGTTCACAGGATGCAATATGAAAAAGCAAGGTGGTCAGCATCATGATGTGGATTTTTTTTGCAATAGTTCAAAATGAATAAAAAATAGTAATGATCAAAAAAATTACTCTCTTCTTGAGATATAATCTTGTTCACTACTTCTAATTTTTTTCCTTTATTTTGAAGCATTCTATCTCATTCATGATTCCCTTACATGAATGGAAGGTAAACAGACTCACTGAAATCTCACATGACACTAAAGCATCTCACAGCCGTGTATTTTAATTTCTGGCATACATTATGATCCGTACTTAATGGATCCTCTGTTCTTATGCCATTTTGATTATATCAGCATGTATTTTAGTCATTGATCACCAACTCCATTTGTCTTTTATATCACAATTTGACATCAATACAAGAAACAGGATGAGATGCAAACAAAATGATACAGAATTACAAAATAATAGTTGAACATGAATTATGTTTGCAATGCATGGCTTGTCAGTACCAGATTCAAGAGTAATGAACGCTTCCTTGTATTGCAGTCACAGAAATTCAGTAAAAGCAAGAAAAAAGCTGCTTTCAGAGTTAAAAATAAAATAAAAATAAAATGCCATTGCCAGTTTCTAATAACTTCTAAGTCTTTCTTATTAAGAAGTCAAGGATGCACATGAGATGCCTCTTTAGTTACTGTTATCCGTGGCTCTTTAGTAAACAGTTCTTCTAATAAAACCCTGCTGTAACTAGCATGCTTTCAGAATTCAGCTTGGCCCCAGCAAGTTACTTTTCCAGTTGCTATTTCCAACTGTACAGACACCAGAGAAGCAGTGAAGAATGCACTGTATCACTATTTGGCTGTGCAAAATCTGGACACTCAACCTTTAACACTCAGTTTGACATCAGACTAACAATTAGGAGTTCTAATGCAGAAGTTACTACTTTTAACAATACTAAAATTCAGTAATTTTTGATCAAAATTAAACACTTGAAATTTTTGACAAAGAAATTTTTAATTTTAGTTTGTGGAAATGTAATTCAGCATTAAATGGCATTTCCTCCCCTCTTTTAGTATGCTGGAATATGATTAGATTTCCTCAACTCTAATGATGTACTATGAAAAAAGGGTATGGATGAGATATGATCCTTCAGAGCCACAACAGCCATCCACATTAAATACTGTGCACTGCAGGACTGCAGTTGTTGCTTTATCAAAAACTACAGAAAAGCAAACATTTCAAGTTTATTCAAATAACTTACATGGTCTCGGCTGAACTGAAGCAGACATTATACTTTGCAGCAGAAATGCTGAAACGTATGAAAACTTTGTTCTCTATCCAAAACTGCCCCCAATAGCCAACAAAACACAGATTTTCTGAAGTGACAATGACTATCTTTAAATAAAGGAAAGAAGACTACTGCAAGAAATCAAAGAAACAGGCCATTGGAGTGCTTTGGCATAAATGGCATAAAATGGCATAAATTAATTTATCACCAGTGCAGTCTGATGAAGCTTTTCAGATTTTTAGTATTTGCTTATCTTTGTTAATACACTCAGGCATGCATGTATCTTCTGAGAGGTCTGCTTTAATGGCTGAGCCAAAAGGAAGTGTTAAAAGACACCAAAAAATTATTATAAGTAGTAGCTTGTTTTCCGTGAACAATGCTATCCACTTGCAGACCTCCAGAAATGCAAAGCTGATCTCTATATTAAAAAAGAAAAAAATATTCCAAAAAGTACAAAAGAGGCAAATGAAAAAAACTGAAAAGTTCACCCCCAAACTGGAGGTAAGCTTTGTAAGAAATGAAACACAACCAGACAACTTGATCTCAGTATTTATATTGCATTTCATGGTCCTGTCTTTTAACTTCAAGTTGTTTATAAATTATATCTGAAAAGATTTCTGGGGAATAAGCTCAGAGAAAGAGCTAACCTGATGATTTATATATTGCAGTAGTAAAAAGCAGCACAGTTATATATAAGTTTACGTATACAAGAATATGTATGCATATATAGGTGAGACAGAGTATGCTCATGATGGGATGTTCTATGCTAAATTAATCGGCTAAATTTTGTTTTTCCTCATGACAAGGCAGATGTAGTGAGATTTCAGTAACTTTACAACCAACTCTGTGTACCACCCCTGCTTTCTAATCCATGAATTTTGCCTTCTGGACAATCTGTGTTAAAAGAAAAAAGTTTCTGTGGTCTCCTTCCCCCATCCACCCACCCTTTAGGTATAAATTTATTAAACTGATTAAGGAAAAGTACATGATATACAGGAATAATCTGCCCTTTCCAGATGGAAATGTGATTGCTTTTAATTATAGTTTCATGGCATTTACCTGAATTCTAAGAGGACGCATTCTTTCTTTTTAGAGTTAGTTTCATCAGTACTTCAATACAATGCATAAAAGGAATGTAAAATATTTGTTTTGGGGTATTTTTTATTTTTTGTTTTGAAAACCAAGCAGATTGTACAATTTATTTTCAGTGTAGGAGTTTATTCCATATGTGCAAAATCAACATGAATATTGTAACAACTTTTATGACAGGACAAACTGAATTTATCAAGACACAGCTGAGTAAAGAGAAAATTGCATATTTTCTGAATGACTGACTTTTAAGAATAAAAAAATGTGGAAAGCACTGTTAAAATAGATATTTTTATAATACATTTACATCTTGGCAAAACCCCAACCACTCTTTACTTTTCACACACTGACTGAAGTTCATTGAAAAATAGTTTTTTGCTTTCACTGATCAGTTTGGGAAACTAGTTTGGAACTTTATCACTTTCATGGCCAAAACTCTTTAATTTGTCAGTCTGATTTTATGAATGGAGACATTACTTGTGTGCTATTACAATCCTTAAGTTTAAATAGCTTTCTCCTAGCTGTGTAACCTCTGAGGTACCTAGAGAAAACAGATGTGTTGGCTCATATTTAGCCCTCTTACTCCTAGATATATAAAGACAAAACAGACATGATGTACTGCAGATTGCACCTTTTTTTTCTCTACTGAAAGTGACAGAGCACCTAAAGTGCTTAAATCCAAGGATAACATTTTAGTTACTTTAAGGAGGGAAGTATAAGACTGTTTAGTATCTTCCAAATCCTATGCATTTAACCAAGCCAGTAAAAATTCACTCTAATAGAAGTCTGGCTTGAGACTTGATATATATATTTACCTCATTTGGCAGGATAGATTAGTAGACAATCTAAGCTGTTGAAATATGAAATGTTCTCCATACCTCTGAAAGTTTCAGCCTTATCATGTTGGTTGTCCTCAAATACTGAAGTATACAAAGACAATCAAACTCCACTCATGCATTAGCACATGGATGTTGTAGAAACATCTAAAGTATTCACCTGAAATTAAGTGTATGCCCATGGTCCTGCCTACTATAAATAAAAGAAAGTTGGTGTTCATAGAAAGAGAATGCAACCTCAAAAATAATGTTGATATACTGTAGAGTGGTAAATACTGTATTTACTGTTATGGTTTGTGTGGTTTCTGTGAATGGGAAGCTATATAAACCTTACAACAACTTACCACCTTTAAAACACTTAAAAAAATTAACCGATGCCAAGGGGAAGTGCTGAGAAGTAGGCAAGAGTCACTTTATTGTATCAATAAATTCAACCAAATTGTGTTGTTTTTTTTTAAAATAAGTATAATACAATAAAAACACTGTAAATTTATTTCCCTACTATGTGATAAAATATTAGCTTATAGAAGCTGATTACTACTGCAATGTTTTTTTACCATTACACTTTGTGTTTTAGATAGCAACAGTGACAACAATGAAGTGCTACCATTTTACGTTAGCTATAGCATATGCCCATGGTTTTTAAACCCAGCTTTCATCATATTGAGCTTGTTTTTCATAGAACAAGGTTATTAATTTCCAGGATCTGGGCAGTTTCAAATGGCTTCAATTTATTTAGGGAGTGGTATATTAATTTCCACCAACCACAATTTGACTAAAGCTAAACACGTCTGTTTTTCATTTTACTTGCTAACAATAAAATAACCACTTTCAAATATAATAAGTGATATTCAAATTGACTTTGTTATCTGCAGTGATAATGATGTAAGTGCTAAGTCTAACCATTTTCTAAAGAGCATATAATTAAATTTTAGGAAAAAATGTTTTTAGGAAACAGTGGTTTTTTTTGAACAACATAACTGATACAAAATAGGGCCTTGAAGTCATCTGGCTATATCAAAGGGTTAATTTAACCAGGAAAATAAATTGTTTACGTATGGCTAACATGAGACATGAGACTCAGTAATAAAAAATGCAAGTCCCTCTTCTGCTTTTCTTTTCTAGATTAATGAAACTTTCATGTTTGGTATTAAGTTGTGTCTTGATTTGTTCAGTTACTGCTGTCAGGCTACCCTTCCACCCCCAGATGTTGGAATCCTGCTCCAAGATCACTATTTTTACTAGAGGGACCATAAGAGAAACATTTTGCTTACAAAGGTATGGATATGGCAGTCTGCCATGGAACACCCAGACTTCAGTTAGGACATAGAGCTGAAACGCACAGTCTAAAGTCAGGTGAAAACCAGACTGAAAATAATTCTGCTTCCCAAAACTGGTTTTAAAAATTCAGAAGCACATAAACAGGAATTTCTCCCCACCTTTCCCGCCCCCACCGAAAACATTAGTGTCCTCTATCCTGTTTACAAACTTGGATTTGAAAATATAAACCATACAGTAAAATTTCTATTTTGCTTTCACACATTTCATCTTTACTGACATCACATTAACATAGGACGAGCTAATGTTGTTAGTAATGAGAAAGAAGACCTACTTCCCAAACCAACCTTTTATTGAATTGGGCTTCCCTCCCTTTGTGGAAATTCCCATTCCAGATATTGAGATGGTAATGAGAGACACTTATTGCTTACATTGGAGTTTTTAATTCTTCCTTTTAAGTAGAAGCTTGCAGATATTAATCTAGACCACTGAGAGTCCTCTTCATTGATGACAAGGCATTTTCACTAGGTGATACAGAAATGTGGTCACACACCCTATGTGCTGTTCATGTCCTTCATACCTAAGGAAATCTCTATCTTAACTGACCTGTGCTATAAAAAGCAACACACATGGAGTCAAAGGACAGTAATAGGTGCTGTGTCCCCAGCTGCTCATGGTAAAAATAACTGGCTGTCAGGATTTACAACACAAAACTAAACCACAGTGGACCAAAGTTAGTTAATGCTACTACTTAGTAAACATTCCCATTTTTTTATTTGTGACTTATAGAATCATAGAATAGTTAGGGTTGGAAAAGACCTTAAGATCATCAAGTTCCAACCCCCCTGCCATGGGCAGGGACACTTCACACTAAACCATGTCACCCAAGGCCTCGTCCAACCTGGCCGTGAACACTGCCAGGGATGGAGCATTCACAGCTTCCCTGGGCAACCCATTCCAGTGCCTCACCACCCTTACAGGAAAGAATTTCCTCCTTATATCCAATCTGAACTTCCCCTGTTTAAGTTTTAACCCATTACTCCTTGTCCTATCACTACAGTCCCTAATGAAGAGGCCCTCCCCAGCATCCCTATAGGCCCCCTTCAGATACTGGAAGGCTGCTATCAGGTCTCCACGCAGACTTCTCTTCTCCAGGCTGAACAGCCCCAACTTTCTCAGCCGATCTTCATACAGGAGGTGCTCCAGTCCCCTGATCATTCTCGTGGCCCTCCTCTGGACTTGTTCCAACAGTTCCATGTCCTTTTTATGTTGAGGACACCAGAACTGCACACAATACTCCAGGTGAGGTCTCACAAGAGCAGAGTAAAGGGGCAGGATCACCTCCTTCGACCTGCTGGTAACACTCCTTTTGAATTACTGCTTTTATTTTGCCCTGTTGATATTATACTGTTTGTAGATAATATACTTGGCAATACTCACAATGCAGTTTCAGTTTTCTTTATATCTAGTTTGTTGATACCAGTGTTATGTCACGGTTTGCCACCACTGGCACTTGTTTCAGCCACTCCTGGGCCCTGGAAGACCCCAATTCAGAACTGCAGTGACTACAATCCCCAGATACCTGAGGCTCACCTCAGTATGGTATTGAGATCTCAGTGCTTCCTATATCAAAATTGTACAATTCTGCATTTGCTGGTTCTTTGGTACCTGCTTGCTGTTTTCTCACAGTCTGTAAGTTCAGGGTTATTTTAGGTCTCTGGCGACAGTATTTTTTAAAGTCTTTTACCATGCCCACACATGTAACTAGCAGCCTTCCAGTATCTGAAGGGGAACTATAGGGATGCTAGGGAGGGACTTGCATCTGGAATATTGTGTCCAGTTCTGGGCCCTTCAGTTCAAGAAAGACAGGGAATTGCTTGAAAGAGTCTAGCGCAGAGCCACAAAGATGATTAAGGGAGTGGAACATCTCCCTTATGAGGAGAGGCTGAGGGAGCTGGGTCTCTTTAGCTTGGAGAAGACTGAGAGGTGACCTCATCAATGTTTACAAATATGTAAAGGGTGAGTGTCAGGATGATGGAGCTGGGTTTTTTTCAATGATGTCCAGTGACAGGACAAGGGGCAATGGGTGCAAACTGGAGCATAGGAGGTTCCATGTGAACACCAGGAGAAACTTTATTGTGAGTTGTGGAGTCTCCTACGTTGAAGATAGATGATCTTTTGAGGTCCCTTCCAACTCTTGGGATTCTGTGACTAGGGACTGTAGCGATAGGACAAGGGGTAACGGGTTAAAACTTAAACAGGGGAAGTTTAGATCGGTTATAAGGAGGAAATTCTTTCCTGTTAGGCTGGTGAGGCACTGGAATGGGTTGCCCAGGGAGGTTGTGAATGCTCCATCCATGGCAGTGCTCAAGACCGGGTTGGACGAGGCCTTGGGTGTTACGGTTTAGTGTAAGGTCCCTGCACATGGCAGGGGGGTTGGAACTTGATGATCTTAAGGTCCTTTCCAACCCTAACTATTCTATGATTCTATGAAAACATATCTCTTATAGGTCCCAAATTCCAATAGGGATTTAAAACCTTGAATTCAGCCTGCTGGATGTGGAATCATGGGCAACTTTGCTCCCTATAGAGATATGAATTAGTTTTCAAAACCCAGGTGATTACGGTCCATATTCAGAATGAGTTACAAGTAACTAGGCAAATCCAAAGTAGTAAGTTACAGCATCTTTTGTAAGGAAAAAGCCAATTGTAAATATTTCTCTGTTAATGGTTTAGGATAAAAACCAGATAGCACTTAAGCGAGCTATAAATTAAATCTTGAATTCTAGGTTAATGGAACAAATACAATAGAAATATTTAGAATAAATTGTTCCAGAGCAAAATTTCTCAATCTTTGCCTTCAAAAAAAAGCACAGTTATAAACACCACACTTTGAATTATAAAGCATTTAAAGCCTGCTAGTCAGCTAAATGGGAGAAAAAGCCTGCACTAAAGCTTTAAGCGACACTTTGGGACAATAACATCCTCATTAAAAAATAAGGATACATCAAAACTCTGCAGTTAAAAGGTTAAGTGTTAGTCTGTGTGTAGTTGATAAATGTTGAGCTAATCTAATCAGTGGTTGTAAGAGGCAATGCCATCAGCTAGCTGCCCTGACCTGTGCTTCTAGTTTTCACAAAAGTAAGATTTAAGAAAGATGTCAACTTAAGGCCTCTGACCTAGCAAGGACCTTGTTCGTGCCAGCCTGGTGTTCTGCTAAACAGGCTGAGAACTTTCAGCTCAAATCAGTAACATGTGCACTTCACTAATACAACACATGGCTTGGAAATTAAAACGCAATGTGATCGAGTGCTTTAGGATATTTTAACAGTTAAGAATGCAGCTTGGGGGGAGGAAGCTTGTTTCTGTGTTTTGCTTTGGGAAGGGGAAAAAGGACAAATTCAATTGTACTGCTTTTCTTCAAAAAAGTGGGGAAACAAAAATTCAGTTAATTAGTTCATGGATGACTGACCTAGGGGAAATGAGGAGGTTGTATGTTTCTTTATGACATGTGTCACTTATTAGATAAGTAGGTTTTACTACTTCCAATTGAGCTAAATTAAAACTAATTAGAAGGTAGTTAAATTACAATCTAAATACAATAAAAGGCAGTAAAAATAGCAAATGGCATTTTGCTCATCAATAATATTCCTAAATGCAGTTGATTATTTTCAATAGTTTCTGTATTGACTATTTCAAATTATTAGAGTAACAAGCTTTGCCAGCTGCCAGAATGAAGTTTAACTCCACATAGATTAACTAGCACAGACTTTTCCCATATGCCATCAGTTAACCAGAAAATTTATTTCATGCCATGTTTTACTGGTACTAATGTGATTCCAGACATTACATATGAATCTGGACTTTAGAAATCAAATTCCATCCACCCTTTCTGATAATTATGGAATGATCAAGGCTAAAACTGACAAAGAGACCTAGTGATCTAGTTATGAATTACTACCAATATCTTGGGTAGTGTTAAGATTTTACATTCGATAATAAAATGATGATGCTTGTAATACCTATGCAGATTTTCACTTATTATGGGTGATGATTACATACCGCTGTTTTACAGCTATGCACTAACAATAAATGTATCTACATATATATATTCATATATTTCTTCCATCTCAAGTAACTTTAAAATAATTAGGTAACTGGTTTTTGGCATACATATGCTTCTCCTTTGCACATCCAGTTTTTTTCCTACTTGAGTAGGAAATAAACTTCTGAACTTGGATGAGCCAAAGACAACAATGCTACATTAAAGAAACTCAAAGGAGGAAATAGGGAAGTTAAACTACCTTCCACTAAAAAAGACTGTACCTCTTTTTTGGTAGTCTAGAATGGAACATGATAGCTTAATTTCCATCTCCTACTGGATGTCCAGAGAGAAGAAACGACTTCTGCTGTTTTTTTCCTTCTATTTGGAAGATGCTTCTCCTAATTTTAGAGTGCAAGTGTATATTAAATTCCCAGTCAACCTATTTCCTTAGTTTTCAGAGAAAGGAAAGAACATGCTGAGAAAGCAAATGGAAGTTATTATACTTACTGGAATAGATGGCTGAGAGGATATTAAGACTACATATTGGGCAAATACAGTTCACATTATTTGGATTTCTTTTGCAATTAAAATTGTTAGTGAAAACATACAAAAGCATTGGTTATAGGCAGTTTAATCATATGTAAATATATCTACTTCTATGTATAAAGCTACTTACATTTCAACCTACATATTTATGCCAGATTTTTCATCACTTATTTATACCTGCTAATGACACAGGCAGTGACTGCTTCCTTGTAATAAAGTAAGTAAATACATTGCAGGAATGTAGAACGGGCACTTAGCATTGCACAGTACAAAAGGTCTTAAACATTTTTCTGTGTAAGGGAGCTCTGCATTTAAGAATTGAACATGGTATTGTACTTCTGCAAAAACATTTCCTTCCACGATTTAATAAAGGAATAGCACATAGCAGGACATTTTCCTAATGGCTGTGAACTTAAAAAATCTGATTTAGCAGCCATATGAACTATAATCTGCTATTATTCACAATACCTTCATGAATTCAAAGTAATTTAGAGAGTATAGGTGAAAGGATTTTATATTTGTGGAAGACTTAATACTTAAGCTAACTCAGAATTATGACATACACATCCCCTAAACCTATGCAGCAGTATCTGCTTTATTAGAAACAGGACTGATATGCAAAGACCTGTTTGCAGTTTTGGTATAAATGATTCTGTTCTATATTTCTATTCCAGGGATACTCAATGCAGGAACTGAGACTGTCATTGGCTCTACTGGTTAGACTCTAGCTAGACTAAGAAAGGTATTAAAAAAAAACTGATTTATGCTATTCCTGCATATCTTTATATGAAAAATAAAAACCAAACCCCAAACAAACCTCAAAACTTAAAGCTCCGTTTAAATATTTTCTGCACTAGTTTTATGCCACCTTTCCAAATATACTAACTATAGACCTATGCACCATTATATAATGAAAATATTTATGAAAAGTCGTAAGTACATAGAAATACAGGAGCTTGGCAAGTACTCAAAGGTCTGGCAATGGAAAATAGCATCCGTTGTTTCAGCCAGATTAGGTGCAAAACTTTAACATATCTGTTTAATGTCTTTCAGAATTTATTCATCATTTTCCTTTTTATGTTTATATAAAAATCATTGAATTCAAATTGCTATTCAGTTTAGTCTAGATGCAACTTTTATAAGGAATGTCCTGTCATGATTCTTTTAAGCCTGTGATTTTTATAAATGTTTCATTAAATTAATCTACTGCATAAAGAAATACCCTCCTGATTCCTAAATCAGAACTGAAGTGTCCTCATTTTTTCCCAAATAGACGCTTCTTGCCACAACACATAACTTCTGTCAGTCCTGCAAAGCTCTAGCATCTTCTACAATAAATAAAATAGACATTTGCCTTGAAAGAAATAAAAAATGAATAAATCCTCTTCCTCCAAGACCAGTAACTAAATGTGATAAAAGCACTGAAAATACTTCCTAAATCAAACTTAGTAATGAAATCTCTTATTGAAGAAAAGATAGAAAAGGTGTTATGAGGGACAATTTTCAACAAGCAACATTGGAAGATCAAGGTGTACCCACTACATTGTGAAACAGTCTCCAAAACTCATGGTGCCAGTGAAATACTACCCTTTTAAGATACTTTTAAAGACAATTCAAAGGTATCTTTATTTTAAAGAAAGACATTTTCTTAAACACTGAACACTTATTTTGATTGTTTATTTTTAAGTAAGTTATTGTTTCTCAAGAAACAGGTCACAAAATGGAAAAGGATATAATAACAAATGATTTTATTTTTTTTTTTTACCCACTGAATAAATACAGCTTCCAAATAAAATAGTGAGCTATACCACAACATCCAGGATTCACACAGCATGCATTAAAAAGACTGTGGGCCATGCCTGCCTTTGCTTTGCCAGCTTTGAATTTGTCCATATTTTGCTATGAATTAATTACTTGTCTATAATTTTTACATTTGCTCTTTTCAAATAATGTATTTAGAAAATCAAATTTTTGTTTAAATTAAATATGTCAAGAAAGTAAAGGAATAAAT